ACAAAAATGAAAATAATGTTTGGAAAAATATAAAAAAACATGGAATGGACAGACATGCCGTACAACATATCTAGTTGTTTGTTAAACATGGTGCATTGCTTGTCTCAGATATGGTTGTTTCTTGCACTTTCATGTACATACATCTACTAGAAATTTCTTCTTCAAATTGAAAAATAAAATTAATAAGATCATATTTAGAGATGTAGTAACTGAATGGATAGTTTGGGCTAGGCTGTGCATCGATCGGTTTGGTTTTGAAGTTTATCGGGTTGTCTTATTGATTATCAGTTTGTAGAGATGTTAAACCGTTATAGAACCATTAAGATATTGACTTATCGGTTATTGGCTTATCGGTTTTTCATCGTTATCGGTTCGGTTATCGGTTTAACCATTAAAATTTGACACAAGAAAAAACATTTAAAATCACTTAGAAACAAGGTGACAAACCAAATAAACCATGCACTTGAGTTCAAATGTTACCTCTTGGTCAAAAGCAAACACTTTTACATTGTTGAATAACCAAGTGTTTGAGACAATCAAAAATAAAAGTAGGAAATCAAACTCTAAGTCGAGGACTTTCTATACAAAATGATATATATAAGATTATTTAATTTAGTATCGGGTTATCGGTTAACCCGTTAAGAAAAAAATTCAAACCGTTAAGAACCGATAATCTGATAACAAAAAAAAATCAAAATCGTTATCAAAACCACTAAACCAATAACCCAATACTATAAACCAATAACTTTTTTATCAGTTCGGCTTATCAATTTCGGTTCGGTTTTGAACAGCCCTAGCTTAAGCTGAATTTGAACGGATGAAATTAAAAAATTAAATCAATAATGAGTTATTGTGTAATATTATTAAAAAGTTAGGTTGAAATGAAGTTTTGATCCGTTACTAGCATAAGTACTATCACTTACTTGTATTGATCCATATTAAGTTATGATTATAACATATTATCTTTATTACCCAAGAAAATGCATTATAGTCTAGTTTGTCCAAAAAAATTTATATGCTAATTTTGAGGTTGATTTACAAAAATAATTTTTGTTGTGAGTGGTCTTGAATTTTTAACTTTACTTGTTCATCAGAAAACTTTAAAGTTATTTAACAATTTTATGTTAGTAGGGGTAAAAAATTTAAGACTGTCTACTAATTTTATCACCCCCTAAATCCTAATCATATAAAGTAATAATACAGGCTAGCCACCTCTTAATCCTATAATTTAAAAAATAATTATTGTAAAGTTTCAAATTGGATTAGTGAAACTCCAAAAAAAAAATACAATAGCTAAAATATACTATTTGTAAATTTAACACTTAGTTATACTCATTTTAAATTTATATCCTCTTTTTTGGTACTTACTAAATTGACATCACGAGAAGAAAATTAAAAAGCAAAATTCATGCATTTAATATATTTAATATATAATAAAAGGATCGTGAGTGAACATGTTAATTTTCCAAAAATAAATAAATATATTATAAGTATATGAAGTTTCCAAGCAAATACATGACTTTATAACAATTAACATAAATTGACTTCCTCTAATTAAGATGCCATTTTAAAGAATCTTGTTTAGACAAAAACACATGTGATGATATAATCTTTTGACATTTTCAGTTTTTTCAAACTAATTCAGAATCTTTCATCTTCAATTAAACCAAATATTAAAATTAAACTAAAGTATCCAGTTGTATTTTCTAGCTTTTCTAGTTATAGAAAAGAGATTTGATTCTAGTCATGTATCTTTTTGGAGTCTCTATAATATGCATGCTTTTACAATATTTAAAGGGATTAAATATGGAATAAGAATTAACTATCAAAATCATCCTTAATCCATCACTAATTAAATAGCAACATATTCAGTATTGTAATTTCACATGTGAGACCTCGAAAAGATAGAGCGTACGCAAATTTTACTCCAATCTTATGGAGATGAAAAATATATACTTATAAAATAATCTTAACTTTGTATATACAATATAATTTTTTTTAGTTCTGATGAACCCTTGCTCGCACTTGACTCCGCTTCTGAAGTTAACTATTACTATTTTTTTTTTAATACGAGGGTCAATTGTAAAATGTCTCGCTACTAGTAAAGTTAAAATCTGAATACATGATATAATATTTGATTATACGTATAATTGACAATCATATGAATTATTAACTAAACATTTTCCTATAGGAAACTTTAATGATAATAAGAAACAAATACGATGAACCAGATTAATTTATAGATTGTTGATTTATTGAAGAAAATATTATTGTCTGGAAAATAGTTGACAAAATATATTAGAAATTAAAGAGCTTTTGAGACAATAAAACAGATATTAACAGACTTTCACCCACTACGAAATATTTGTCCACATTTTACTTTAGTTCTTCATAGATTCAGTACATGAATCTGGACTTCGTTTTTTTTTTTTGGAGAAAGCATAATACATGATTAATCATGCATACTAATTATTCTAATTAATCTTAATGATTAATATAACTAATTTAACTAAATTAATATAAGTAATTTTAATATTATGCAAGTTGTTGAAGAATATATATATATATATACCATATGGTCAAGACTCACGAGCATGAAATATGACATAATTAACGTTCTATTAATTAAAAAATTGTACGGATGGAAAAATAAATAATGTACGGATGAAAAAATGAACCTAAAATATATAAGGGATAAATGATTATGATGTATGATTCAATGTATTTGGATGATTTAGTTTACTAAGTAACTAAACAAATGTATAAATTATGTATATTTAAGTGTAGATTCATATTAGCTTCCTTTGGTGATATTCGGCAAAACATTTAAAAGTTTTTATTTGGTCATTTTGTGAATATTTTTAGAATTATATTACAATCAATATAAAGTAATATAACAGTATAAAATTTAACATAATATAAATGAGTAATCAAATAATAACAAACAATTGATAATCATGGTAAATCTATGAATATTTACGAGCAAAGAAACCTAGCTAGAATGCATGTTTCAATTAATCGAAAGTCAAATATGCTTAAAAAAATATCACAAGAAGTACAATCTGATTTTTTCTAAGTTACTATTTTTCTCTATTTAAACGTCTTTACTTCATTATAATACTTTACTAATTGAAACAAAAAAGTCAAATATTTCTAAGATGAGTTCAGTTAGTCAAAACAACTAATATTTGAGATCCGAAATAATTTGTGGTACGTGTTACCACCTTATAATATATTTAATCGACCTTTAACCATACGGTGCAATTAGATGATTAATAAATATTATAGAGATTGTACGTATAAAACTACTTAAATCAAAAACTTAATCTACATTAAATTTTCCTTAATAAACATCTTAATTATTTCTCATCAAGTTGAAAAATACAACACCAATTAACACATAGGCTGGACCAGTTCAACTTTTTAATGCACTAATAGAAGAAAAAAGAACAACAATAATTTTTTTTTAAAAAAGGCCAATAATTGGAAAAAAGTAATAGAAAATAAAAAGGCAGAGTTGATTGATCAATTGCTGCAGAAAGGTTCTCAAAAAGTGAATTCAAATAAAATTTGCCTTATCGGTATTGATAGTGTAAAATAACTCTTATACTATATTATACGTATGTATAAATCGATAACTAATAAATTATATAAATATATATAATATATCAAAATACTTTTTAATGGTGTCAGATTTTGAAACAAGCATGCAAAATTGAGTCAATAATGAAAATTACTATGCTAAGTGCATTTTAGCCCTTAGCTCAACCTTTTAACTTTATTAGAGTCAATTATTTGACTATTCGAATATGAAGACTGAAAAATAGTGATGATATGTGTTTAAATTTAATATTATTGATTTTTATTATATTAAAGATATATAATATAAAGATGCAAACACGGGCACACGCATAACAAGAAGCTAGCTCTAGCCCTCTAGAACATATAAAATGTTCAAGTATAGAGTGATACTGATACATGATGAATCTCGGAAATTAACTCGTAAATTTTGATGAATTGATAATGGGCCGGGTCTTGTGATAATATCTCATCTCCATATCTAGAAGCTACAATTCCACTTTAATTTCTCTTTCTATTTATGTTGATATTCTATAGCCCACCATAGGAGAAAATTATTACCTCAAATAGATTCCTAAATCTAAAACATGATAATATATCATATTATAGCAGGTGAGTTGTAACTTACACAATTTGTATCTTTTTTATTAAAAAAATTGCTATATACATATGTATATATTATATATATATACACATAGAATAGATATAGTTATAGTTGGTTGAAAGTTGTGTATGAACATGTAATATTAAAACTGCTCAAATACCCCTTTTTGTCTATACACACAAATAGCCCACTAGGCAGCTCAAATTTATATTATCAAAATAAGATTCTTATTTTAAGTTTATTAATCAACATGTGTTTCTGTGTGTGTAAGAGAGAGAAAGCTAGAGAGAAGATCAGGTTCATGTATATGCAACATAGAGATATTTTTGGAAACAACAATATTCTGTAAAAAATACATGAAATTTACCCTAAAAAACTAAAATAAAAATCAAACTTATATACACTGATAAATGGTAATGATCTTCTTTAAAAATTAAAATGAATTGATAAACTATTTTTTTTTATATATCATCGAGTAAATTTAATCGGTTATAACATGTTACTCTTCTATTCTTCAGCTTATCACTATATATTAGTCTTGCTAAAAAGATCTACTATATAATCGTTGTAAATGAACTAAACTTGATGCTATAAAACCATATAAACTAATAGTTAAGGGCGGATTTAGTCTGTAATCTATAAATATTTGATAGTAAACTTAATTATTATTATATATTAACTTGAGATTATTGTATGAATTCATAAACTTCAATTCGTGAATCTATTACTCCGTGTTGTTAATGCACATAAGTAAACTAATTGGAAACTAGGAAAAGACAATATAATTAATAAGAAATAAACAAGAGAGCTCAATTTTGAAAAGAAGAGATTCACATTTCTTGTTTTTTTTTCATTTCCATCTTTGTTTTTCATATCACCTATGATAGCTCACTTTTGAGCCATTTCTTCTTCTCTAAAATACTAATATACAATTGAAAGTCTTTTTGCACCTTGCAACTTCTAAAAGTAAAAAAAAAAAAAACTTGAAAAGTAACAAAAAAAAAAGAATTACAAAAACAAAAAAGTGAAAAGTTACTACTACTACATCATGTTACAAAGCATCAATAATAACCCTTTGTTTCTTTCTACATGACTCAAATGTCAACAATTCCATCTCCATCCTCCTTTTGCCCCCACCCCAACTAGTCATGTTATTATTATTGTTATTGTTATTGTTATCGATAACAACATTACTTACATTCGCGGGTACCTTGCATATATTAACTCCGAACAATCTCACCATTTGTACCAGTGGAACTTGAACCTGAGCCTGAACTTGATTCGTAACAACCATACTAGTATTCCCCACATTTTTAGCCTTAAAATCGATATATAATTGTTTATCTCCACTTGTAGATCGTTGAAAACTCACAATATCACCGGCCTTCAAGTTTTTTTCCTTAACGAAACGACTCCATCCTTTTGTTAGAACATAACTTTGACTACTATTCCAATACGAATACCTAAATCTCCATACTTTACCATTTAAATCTTCGAAATTCAACAAAACCCCTTTAGAATTATTTCCATTTTGTAATGGAAAATGTTTTTCAGCATGTTGTTTTGGTATCACAAGCCTATTAAGTTTCCCAACGTCACTTGGTGTAACAACTTTTTCAAATAGCTGTTCACGCGCTTTGCAATTGACTTTATCATTTGTACTACCAAAGAACGAACTAATTACTAGTCCATCTTTCCTTTTTATCATACCGTCTTTAGTAAATCCAAACAATCTCTTGCTTTGTTCCAACTCATCGATATACGTATGTTTACGTAACATGTCAACGATCTCCGCCTTGGAATGTGAATTCAAGAAAGCGATTTCCATGTCATCGCTTTCTTGATTCTCAAGCAAGGGTTTGAAATTAGTTACAGCGTCGCGGCCCCTGAATCTCTGGGCCGCGATGTCATAAGCCCTAGCGGCTTCATTTTCCTCGTTGAATGTGCCTAACCATACCCTCTGATGCTTTTCATAGATTTGTGCGCCCCAACGACCATTTGGTTGTGGGACCACACCTTTGTACCTTGAAGATGGGAGTTTTCTTGATTCAGCTTCAACACCATTTTCAGCATCAATTATCACACTTGTTCCACTCCCCATCCGGCAAAGACCACTCTCCGGCGGCAGTTTTATCGTCGTCGACGATTTAATCATCGTCGATGACGACGCGGCCGGAGCAATGGAGAGAGAGTCACTAGTAGTACTCTCTTGATCTATGCTACTAATACTTCCTTCCATTTTTTTTTTGGTGTGTGTGTTGTTTTGTCTTTTTTGATGAGAAAAGGAAAATTAGGAAGAAAAAAAATAAGTAGAAGAATTGGTTGTGTTTAGAGAGAGTTTTGAAGAGTATGATGAATTGGGTTGTTGATATGGAAAAGAGTTGAATATATATATAGGAAAGTCCACCCCATTTTTTGTGTGCAATTAATAAATAAAGATTATTTTTTTCTATGTTATTAAAAAAATAATATAAAATACTACTACATACTACTTTGAAGATATGGAGATGTGGGTATTATGGGTCAACACACAATAAGAGAGAGAGAGAGAGAGAAGATGGTAAGTAACTAGGAAGATTCATTGGTGGTGAAGTGGGGGAGGGCTTTAGTATAGTATATGCCCAAATATGAGGCATGCTAGGTAGGGTGAGTTTATTTTAAATTTCATGGGTTTAAATCTTATATATACTAATAAGATAAAATATTTATATAATCAGATCACTTATTGATATAGTAGTATTATGAAGATATTTACATTGTTAATATATATACTTAGGTCATTTATCAGATGATTGACGTTATTTGATCTGTTATATACTGTATCACAAAATTATTTATACTGTCAGTATATATTATAATATGTATGAATATGTTGTGGGGGTGGGGTAGGGGGTGGGGGTGATATGAAATTGTGTGTGTAATGTATGTATAGGTTGTGGGTTGTGTATGTGAGGTGGGGTAGTAGATAAATGAACAAGTTGATGGGGTTCACATGAGTGTGGACCTTGTGTTATTTGGTAAGTTCATCCCCCCTGAAATTTGCTGCTACTCAGGACCATTATAAGCATGGCATTGAGCATCCTTCTTCTTTTCTTTTTTTTTTCATGTTTATCTAGATTGCAATATTGGTCTATTAAATGCTACAAAAAGTAGTAATAGATTTTCATTGATGTTTCAATATCAAATAAGATATAAAAGGAAATTATTGAAAATATAATCTTGCTTTTATTCAGTTAAAACTCATCAGTTCAATTAATTTAAATATATCAAATTGAGTATCTGAAATTATTTTACTCGTCTCTTCTTTTTTTCTTTTTTTATAAAAAACTAAAATAGCTATTACTATCGTTATCGTTATCGTTATTATTAATTAGCACTTCAATTTTTTTTTAAAAAAAATATATTTTTCTAAGTTTGTACTTCCAATAGGATGGGGTGTCATGGGCCAATTGTAAAAATAGGAAGAAGGGGATTGATGGACTTGAAGACAAAAATCCATCCAACCCCAAGAATTTTCCCCCATAATTTCTTACCTGGCATGAATTGATTGGTCCTTCCCATCTTTAAATTGTCTTTATTTGCTAGGTTCAATTTCAACCATCTTAATATCTATTAATCTCAAAAATAATTTTTTTAAAAAATAATTTAAATAAAATCTCAATCATTTCAATAATTTTTCTATCCAACATTGACAACTTCATTGTCCATCTCCCTAACCTCCTCATCCTCAAGTGGGAGTTTTCCCCTTGTTTTGCAAATATAGGGGGACGTTGTTTCTCTTGTTCTTTTTTCTCTTTTGTTTTTTCACCTTTTTATCTTTTGATCTACTTGTAATATATAGATATATAATATATTTTCTTCTAGACATGCAATGGGAATATAACAAGCTCTTTGGAATATTAATTACTATTCTTCTATATACATGTGAATTCCTAATATTGTTTTAATTGAATCCACTCTAAGAATCACGTTCGACGATAATCTATTAGAGATCAAGTTGATCTGAAACATTTATGGTGAATTTATGACAAAAATGTTTGTTGAAAATAGACTAATTTTTATAAGTGATATGCAACTATAAATTCTTACAATATTATTTACAAGTGAAATAGATACAGATCATCTAATATTAAATTTTATAATAATACTCAATATATTAAACTCTTATTTTTTTCTAACAATCTAGCTAACATTTGATCATTGCAAATATGTTAAAAAAAGAAAAGTGAACAAATATATAATAGATAAGAAATCAAAGGAAAAGGACTCAAGTCTCTAGTTTTAGTAATTTTTTGAAAAAATGACTTTATTAATCAACATGGTATTTATTTATAATTATTTAGTAGTTATGATGATGTCACATTTAAAATAATGATAAAAGTTTTTTCCATGGGCTGCTAATAATCTTGTGGCTAAAATTTTCAATTCTTGTTGGTTAATGTGTTTGAAAAATAAAAGAATAAGATTGGTGGAGATTATTATTATTTTATTATTTAAAAATAGTTTATTATGTACGGAAAAGAGTCCTTAGTGTCACTATATGGGCCTACAAATGGGCCCATTAATTTGATCTAAAACCAAACGCGTTAAAATGGTGGGTTTTAGGCCTTTCTATGTTGGCCCCATTTATAGATTCCCTTTGTTTATCCTAAATTTGTACCTAACTTTATTTAGACTATTAGTGGTTGTCCAATTATCGGAACGAGATAGATAAGAATATTTTATCGAATTAGTTAAATTATATTTAGTATATCAAGATTGATTACTCGACATTTATATCAAATAAGAGTAAAATAACTAAGTAGTTTATTTTAAAATTGATATCGTTTATTTATCTTATCGAGCGACCTCTTACATTTTACTGTATATGAAGCTGCCACCATTCGAATCATGGGTTAATTACAATATCTTGTATTCGTAATGGAAAATGATTTAATTAATATCATATAATTTATTCAAAACCTCATAAGTAAACAAAATTATAATTCAAAACCTACGAAGTAAAAATTTTGACTTACTTTTCTATATACATTGTAATTTTTTTTTAAACAATCGTTGTAATTTAACATGTAGTAACATGTATTAGGCTGTCAATATGATTAATATTTATTATAAGAAACTATATATAATAATTTTATAAACAATCTAATTATATGAACATTTTTCTCACTATTAGCATGTCATACCTCGAACAATAAACTAGTCAATTATTCATGCGAATGATAACGGAATTTTAAAATTATTTTTCCTAATTTGTCAACAGTCAAATTTTTGGATTTTCAATGTACATTGAGTTGATTTATTTATGAAATATAAAAATGATTAATTAATTAATTAATTAATTGCATGTGAGTATATTTTGAAATACCGTATATGTACATTTATAGTATGAGTTTGTGAACTTGTGATACGGACAAGTTGTACTTTTTTATCTTTTTTTTTAAATAAAAATTAAAAATATATATATATTTTAATTACAAAATTGTCGTTCCTTACAAGTGGGAACACATGAATAGATATGTTGGTTTTGTCACATGAGAGCATTATTATTGAACACGCATTAGGTAAGTAGTGCATTATTAGTACTTCTCGTCCCGTTTTGTACGAGGGATAAATAATAATTAATTTTAAAATAAATTTATCTCATATGTAATTAAGATAAAATTATAAAATAATTTATTCAGACATTATTAATTATTTCAATGATATTACTTTATTTCAATATTAAAAGAGGTGAGATAACATATGGTAATTAATCGCGAAATAACTCATAATGTTTTTCTCTTGCTGCTAGACTTGTACTACTAGCTTGACCATTTCTCCATTTGAAGGAAAAAACAAAACAACTAAAATAAATAAATAATATTGTTAGAAGATGAGATCATTCAATAGCTTTTTTGATGAGACATTGACCAAGTCTAAATAATTCTTAAATTAGCTTTGATTTGTAAATTTTATTATTTCCATTTTGCATATTTGCCTTATTATAAGTTTCTTAATTCATAATTACCAATTACATGTATATTTGTCTGCTGCCTAACTTTTATACCCCGTGTAACTTGAAGAGTGTGGGTGCCGACGTGAATTTTGACTATGATTTTATATGTACTATGGAAAGAAAGTATCGGAAAAAGGTAATAAGATAAGATATGATCAAGTTTAAGTTATCGAATATTTAACTTTAGATAGTTGGACAGGGGGTAGTAACGGGAATCATTGAATTCATGTAAATTCATGCTTTCCTCCAAAGATCATGTACAGTAATGTTATATTTTATAAAAAATATTGAAATATAAATGTGTAAATATGTGATGATGACGGGGTGCACATCTCTACTTGAGGTTAAAAATTTGAATGTTATATTTTGTCTTGTTTTATTTTTCTTTCTAAAATTAGATAACACCTTTCTAAGTGATTATTGGAATAGCACTCTTAATTTAATTGGACCTATAATATTAATAGTTTAACGGTTTTCAGTAATAAGAACCTAAATATCAAACTGATCAAATTTATTTCTTAGATCAACCTTTTTATAATGATGCATTCATCATCTTGAAATTCTGAATATTACTAACGAACTTGGAATACGAATGAGATCAAAAAACCTATATAAGTTAGATAGTAAATTATGAAGGACGTGAATTAGGCTAGTAGATTAGTAGATAGTAGAGTGTGATCTCGCTTATTAGTCCATAATAACAATTGCAACATTATTATATAGTTTCTTATTGTTTCCTAGATTTCTATAATTATTTAGTGCTACTTAGACTTCAATTATTTTATTTTTTTGTTGTAGTTAGTGTTGAGAATTCTTTTTTGTAACTTTTTTATTTTCGTTATTTCTTTTTTTGAATTACTTTGTTCGGTTTTTCTCGAGTTCATCTATCAAAAATATTTCTGTTCATCAATCAAGTGAAAGTAAGATCTGCATATGTCTACCTTTCGTAGAAGACCTAGACCCTCCACCCCCACCCCGCCCCTCTCTCTCACATACACAATATTCATAATGATCATTGTGATCGGACGATTTTCCTCGAGCTCATCTATCAATAACATTCCTGTTCATCAGTTAGGTGAAAGTAAAATTTGTATATGTATACCTTTCGTAGAAGACCTAGACCCTCCACATACACAATATTCATAATGATCATTGGGATCGGACGATTTTCCTCGAGCTCATTTATTAATAACATTCCTGTTCATCAGTTTGGTGAAAGTAAAATTTGCATATGTATACCTTTCTTAGAAGACCTAGACCCTCCACCCCCATCCCCACCCCTCTCTCTCTCACATACACAATATACATAATGATCATTGGGACAACACTACTAAAGTATGTATTGTTGCTATCTTATGAAA